CTCCAACTTATCAATATATATTGTCAATGATTGGGGCTCAAATACTGATCCTTACAGTACCCCACTACTCTCAGTCTGGCAATGTGAGAATGACCCATTTATTTTCAGTTTCTGTCTGTTAACCAATCATTAATCTATACCAGTACATTATCTCCTATCACCTATGCACTTTAATTTTTCTAATCAGCCTCCTGAGGGGCACTTTACCTCCTCCCCATTTTTGATAATGTAGTGGTAATGTCACCGCAGTAGCAATCCAGATCCCCTAGGGCCATTGTTCTGGGGATACGTGTTTGAATTTCCATGTTGACCCAAATTGGCAGTTCTCACTTTATCTCATTCTCACTCTAGTAAAGTCTCCCTCACTCTGACCACGTGGCTCACCATCTGTCCTATTTGGTATCCTTCTAAACTATTTTAGTTGAACCAAGTGAGGCGCATAAGAATGTAAGTTTATGTTGACTAAATTATGCCATTTCCTCTTGTGCTCACCTGTGCTGCTACGTTAGCTAAGGGTGAACTGGTCAGATGGTAGGGCCTCCTCCTGCCAGGTTTGGGGTAAAAGACCTCCTGTTTTCTCTAGATGGTCTGGCTCAGGACCCCTAGTGAGGTGTTGCTGAACTGCATGGCTGGTTTCTGCTTGGATCTAGCTATTATTTGCAGTGTGGGATTGACCAATAAATCTTCCCATGATGTTTCTGGTTTACAGTGAGCAAATGTTTGTCTGGATGGCCTTTAAATAATGCATTGTGACCTTCAACTTAAAGCCCCATTGGGGAAAGAGCTTTCTGCTTACGCTGGTCTATAAAATTCACCATTGTTACCGTACATAAGCCCTATTCATTATAAAATCAGCTGAGAACTGATTGATTGCGTAAGAAATTCTAACCATCTCCAGTGCTGTAATTATTGATTTATTCAATATTGCTAGCAATCCTTCCCTATATATTAATTAGCTTTCAGCAGAAATATTAGTTATTAAATCTTCCTGTCTGTTAGGAAGGGGAGGTCGAACCCCTCGGATAATTGAAATCAAAATACAAGCCCCCAGTCTGTTACGGTGGGAGTAGAGGTCCCCTTCTAATAATTAAACTCAAAACACCAAGAGAAGCTCGCCTCACCTCACACAATCTGTTAAACGTTTATGGAGAAGGGGAGGTTAAATGAAAGAAAATCCCTGATATTCACTTTATAAGTAACCAGTAACAATTTATTTATTTAACCCTAACAGTGGAAAAAATTAATAGAATTGCTAACAAACCGAACAATTCCCCCTTAACTACTAAATATTCCCTAATTGAACTAAATTCTACTGGAATGCTGTTCTAATAAACACAAATTCCACTTATATAGACCCAAGTAATAAGAAAATAAAATGAAAACTTAGTGTCTTGAAGTCTATATGCCTTTCTTCTGCTGTTCTCAAGTTATAAACACTTTTTAATAAATGGTGTATCAGTCCATCTTATTTCTGTATCCAGTCCACAGACCTTTAGCCTGCCATTTAAATTATTACAAGATAACCTTGACTACATATCACACCATTCCTGATTTGTAGAATGAAAGGCTAACCCGTGTGATATTCATAAGGGAATGAAAGAGAAAGTGCTTAAATAACTCCAGGACCTCAGTGTATTGTTTGGAAAAGGAATGTGTCATCTTCCCTCGCATATGCCTGGGTTTTAAAAGTATTCCCACCATTGCAGTATCTTCAATGCAATGATGTATTTCAGGTTCCATTTGTAAAGTTTAACACTCTTTTGCTGGGAAATTTTGCATCATCTTTTCTACTCTAACTAGACACATGGCAGTAATTCAAGTCAAAACGTTGTCTCAAATGCATCTAAGGAGCAAGCCTCAGACTTTGTTAATCAATATTCACTATTTTCCTGTGCGAGGATGGACTTATCTTACATATGTGTATTGGCAAATTGATCTAATTTTTTTGGAATCCATCTTCTATTCCACTGGACCATAGAAAGCAGAATCAATTCAGCGTCAGTGAGGCACAGGGGTTGCCAAACTGGCTTGTACATAACAGGTATTGTATAGGAGAGTGGTTCAAGTATCTCTACTTCTAAAAACAATTTTCAGAGCCAGTTTATGGCTTTACTGCTGAAGTTGTAACTTCGAACACAAAAATACATTCAGCAAACTTTCTTCAAGAACATCTTCAGACTGTTACATTACATTTTAGTGAGTAAGTTAACTATTTTAATCAACTGTCATCTGCACATTCATTGTTTATTTCTACAAAACAAAAACCCATCATGAAACATTGCTCCCCTTCAGCCCAACATTGAGATATGATTGTTCTTGTAACAGTTCATGCAGATCAAAACTAAGCCAGAAAAATACAAAGTAAACATAGCTAGTATGAAAAATTTAAGACTTTGCCCATGATTAACATTTCCTTAAAATTAGATTTTAAAAGTCATGTCTAAACAGACCTATAGAGGTGGTAATGGCCTAGTGGTATTATTGCTAAACTATTAACCCAGAAACTCAGGTAATGTTCTGAGGACCCAGGTTCAAATCCTGCCATGGCAAATGGTGGAATTTGAATTCAATAAAGAATTTGGAATTAAGGGTCTAATTAGGACTATGAAGCCATTGTTGAATGTTGGGGGAAAAACCCATCTGGTTCACTGATGCCCTTTAGGGAAGGAAATCTGTCATCCTTACCTGGTCTGGCATACATGTGACTCCAGACCCACAGAAATGTGGTTGACACTTAACTGCCCTCTGGGCAATTAGGGACGGGCAATAAATGCTAGCCGAGCCAGAGACAGCCGCATCCTGTGAATGAATTTTAAAGAAAACAAAAATGTACTATTCCATTATAATCTCCAAGATTTAAATATCTGTAAAATAAAACTAACTATGGAAATGGTGTTTTAACTGCACATCAAAATGCCAGTCCTCTGTATTGCTGATATCATGCTCCTTCCGGAACAAAATAAAGGCATCTATATGTAAGAGAATAGATTCAGATTCTCTCAATCTCTCCAACAGTTACTTCTACATGCTCACATCCTACTTCCTGAAAGGACTATATTCCATTCTCCAGTTGCAATAGTGAATATTGATTAACAAAGTCTGAGGCTTGCTCCTTTAGATACATCTGAGACAACGTTTTGACTTGAGTTACTGCTGTGTGTCTAGTTAGAGTAGAAAAGATGATGCAAAATTTCCCAGCAAAAGAGCGTTAAACTTTACAAATGGAACCTGAACTACATCATTGCATTGAAGATACTGCAATCGTGAGAATACTTTTAAAACCCAGGCATATGCGAGGGAAGATGACACATTCCTTTTCCAAACAATACACTGAGGTCCTGGAGTTATTTAAGCACTTTCTCTTTCATTCCCTTATGAATATCACACGGGTTAGCCTTTCATTCTACAAATTAGGAATGGTGTGATATGTAGTCGAGGTTATCTTGTAATAATTTAAATGGCAGGCTAAAGGTCTGTGGACTGAATACAGAAATAAGATGGACTGATACACTTTTTAATAAATTTAATTAAAATATCTTTGATTTAATTGATGCCTTCAAAACAGTATTGGATTACTATCTGAAGGAGAAAAAACATGCACGGGTCTGAAAAAAAGATGAATGAGCTTGGCTTAGAGGACTTACTACTGCAAAGAGCCAGTATGGATATGATGAGCCTAATGGCCTCATTCCATACTATGACACTTTACTAGTAGAAGGATCAGCAAAGCAGTCCAGATTCCTTTGAGGAACTAAAAATGAGATAAACAAAATGAAAGCTGGAAAACATCTTGTTCTTTATATGATGGAGGTTCAAATAGAGTACTATTTTTATTTAATTGTTTCTGAAATAAGTTGTCGTTTGCTTTTTGGATCTACATCTGAGGATTGCTTGCAAGCACTTCACCATTTTAAAACATGGTTTATTATGTCCAAGGCTCCAAGTGGGCATTCATGCCTGCTGCTGACACAAGGAGAGTTACAGTTTGTATATAAGATTATCGTGAATTACTGACCAGCATTGAGAAAGCATTCACTTTACTATTTATGATTGCATAATCCCTAACAGGCCATTTCATCTATTAAACCTGCAACGATGTTTTATTTACATCAGCAGCTGTCTAAACTTTTTCATGTATTTTTCACAATTAATAGTCTTTTTAAAGTTTTGAAATCTTCGCATTTTTGAGATAGAGTTCATAAATAACGATTTGTGGCAGCAAATTCAAAACTCTAAACATGTTTATGTAAAGTTTTTTTTTCTTCTAAAATCTCACATTGGTCTTAAATCTATGTTCAATAATACTGGAAACTATGGTGGGGAATGAAGCTGAAGAAACAGTTGTGCAAAATCTTCACTAATTGGAAAACTGGACTCAAAGTTCAATGGACATACAAGAATTTTAACAACAAAAAGGGATACAGGGTTCTTGTGGGGTTTGGAGTCCTAGACTTGAATAAACTCATAAACCTCCTTATGCTGTATCTTATCTGGCTCCTCAATTCATAATCCAGTATTACAACAACCTGATTTTTAGCTCATATATAGCAGCAGTAATAGCAGAATAAGAAAAAATATCAGATGTTATTTGTTCCTATAGAGAGCATGTGAACTTTAGTCACTGGGAAAAGAGATATTTTGCATGTAAAATAACATCAGAAAAACTGGAAGATGAATTTAGTGAGAAGCTATTAGATCATTTTACGGTAAAGCTAAAGTAGGACCGGAAAGGATCCAATTATTGTTACTGCACAAACTCTTAACTTTGGTCCATAAGGTAATGGAGAATTGTTAGACCTATTACTACTCATCATTGAACGTTCTAGCAGATGCCATAAAAATTTTTAGAAGTAGAATGGTTACTTTTGGGGCATAACTTGGCTTAAACATAGTGCACACATTTTTAATTTCATGAAACAATTAATGTGTGTACTATGATTTTAAGTTTCAATCTTTCTAAGTTCCAAGATGCATTGTTCATTTTTTTTTTTCCTTTGTAGGTAATTGACAAAAAAAATCTATTATAAGATGAAATATCTCTGCCGGCCTAAGCTACCATAAAAAGGGAACAAAATGAACTTAAGCTGTGCTGACAGGTAAGAAGTTTATATTTTGCTTTTAAGTTATTTTGTTTATCACTAAGTAAAATTAACCAATAAGAATGTATTCGGCATCCTAGACCATACTTTGGAGAAAATTGACCATTTGACCTGACCAGCCTATGATAGCATTTTGCTTGAATCGAATCTCCTCCCAACTTCCCTCATCTGACTTTATTAACACAGCCCTCTATTCACTTTACCCTCACGCCTATCTAGATTCCCCATTAAAGGCTACTTGACTCAACTATTCCTTTTGTATGGATTGGAGAGGAGCTTCCAGATGGTGATGTTCCTATGCATCTGCTGCCTCTGTCTTTCTAAGTGGTAGAGGTTGTAGATGTAGAAGGTTCTACTGAAGGAGCCTTGGTGAGTTCCTGCAATGGCCCATGTAGATGGTAAAAACTGATGCCACTTTGCATCAGTGATAGAGGAAGTGAATTTTAAAGTAGGTAGGTAAGTTTAGGTAGGTAGTCAGTTGCCTGATTGTCATCTGAATGACAATGAGCTTCTTGAGTGTTGGAATGCACTCAGCAGGTACATGGAGAGATGTGCCTTGTGAAATGGTGAACAGGCTTTGGGGAGTCTAGAGGTCAGTTACCCTCTTTTCTGCTCCTTTCACCCTCCCCTTCAAAAGCAAATGTAAGAAGCTTATGAATTTATTTCCCATTTAAGACTGAGACCATTTAATCAATTGACTCTGTCCCATTCCTGAATTTCATCAATCAACCTAGCTGAACTTCTTACCACTGGCTATGAGCTCTCACCGTGCTGTAGTTTCTCTACTATTTCCTTTCACATCCTTCCAATGCTCACTTGCCCTTGAGACTCGCCTCCTTTCCACAATCCTGTTCCCACAAAACAATCGATCACTAAACTTTCCTGCTGCCTGCCATGTTAGCTGTCATTGTAAATGATTCTCGTTCATCAGGTGTTGTCTGCTTTATTTAAAACAATGTCATACTTTCCATTTGTTTAATTAATTAATTTTGGAAGAATATGATCACCTTTTCCTTTTTAGTTGTTGATTACAGATTGAAATGAGGAGGAAATGCATTTTTATTTATATGACCCTTGTGTCTGTGTACGTATGTGCTCCTGTAATAATTGGTTCCAGAAGAAGCTAATTCAAAACAAAAATACCATTGATGCTGGAAATCTGAAATGAAACCAATCAATGTTAGGAATACCAGAACAGGCAGCACCTATGGAGAGAGAAACGTGTAAATGTTTCAGGTTGATGATGTTTCATCACAATTAGCAGAAAATCATTTCAGTTCAGAGTATTCAAACCTTCAGTTTTGTAGTAAAAGTATTTGTAAGACCTTTTTACAAATCCAGTTTTTTTGGAAGGGGAGTGAATGATTTTAAGAGGCCATAATTTTTTTTTATAATCTTGTGTTATCAGAGATGACAGTAGCATTTTTGATGGGGTAATGGATGAAGATGATAAGGACAAAGCCAAAAGGTGAGTCTACAGAATAAGGTTTTGAAAATATAGCTGGGGATTGCTGCATTATTAAATAAATATTTTTTGAAAATTTTTCAGGTGTTAAAAACAAAACAATAACATTATTGTTTCAGCCAGAATTGTTGTATAGCTGGGTGCACCAAAGAAAACAATAAAATAGTTAAATTAGTAGTTTGGGTGGCTTTTCCTTGCCCAGTTCCAACTGATTCAACTTTTTGCATTATTAAATAAGATCATGAGATGCCCGCAACATCCAAATGACATCCCAACCTTAATTGTAGGGAAATTTTGGCATCATCTATCCGTAAGAGATGATGAACCTGTAGCAAACAAACCGTGTCAGATGGGGTGTCCTCATATAGTATACCTTTGTGTTTTATGGCTTGGAATGAGGCTCTTCGACACATCATCTCCTCGCTGGTAGTCCCATTTTCTCACTTTTGGACCATAGCCTTGTGTGCTATGAGTTTTCAAGTGACCGTCTCAATATTATTTAAACGTTGTGATGATTCCCAGTTCTATCAATCTTTCAGGCAGTGAATTTCACATATCCGCCACCCTCTAGGTGGAAAAAAATGTTATTTCTTCAATCCCCTGTACACCTCCTGCCCTTTACCTTAAATCAATTATCCTGGTTATTGATTTCCCTTCTAGGAGGAAAAGATTCTTCCTATTTATCCTATTATTGTCCCTCATAATTTTGTACACCAGTTAGGACTCCCTCTGCCTTCCCTGCTCCAAGAAAAACAACTGCAGCCTATGTAGTCTGTCTTCATTGCCTATGCTAGAGCATTTCAGCTATATGCTGCTGAATCTCCCCTGCATCCTCTCTAGTGTAATCATGTCCTTTCTATAATGTGGCTACCAGAACTACACCACATACTCCAGCTGTGGCCTAATTGACATCCTGTACAGATCTATCATAACCTCCCTGCTCTTGTATTCAATTCCTTGACTAATAAAGGTGCATGTCTCATATGTAGTCTTAACTACCTTTTCCATTTGTCTGTTGTGTTCAGGAAGCTGTGGACATGCATTCCAAAAAATCACTGTATTTCTCTGTACTTCCTAAGGTCTGCCATTTTGTCATGTACTCCATTGCCTTTTTATTCCTCCCAAAAATGTATTGCCTCACCCCTTTTGTGGATTAAATTTCATTTTCCACACGTTCTGCCCATCTGACCATTCTATAGTCTAAGGCTTTCCTCCTCATTGTTTATCACACTACTACTTTTCATGTAATGTATGAATTTACTGATCAATCTTCCTACATTCATGTCTAGATCATAGATGTATAGAACTAAAGCAGAGGACTCAACACAGAACATTTAGCATGCCAGTCAAAAATCAACTTTTGATAAATACCCTGCTTCCTGCCAATAAGCCAATTCTGGATTCAGTTTACCAAAGTCGCAAGCTGTTACCTCTTGACCAGTCTCCTGTGCTTGATCTTGCGAAATGTTTTACTGAAATCCATGTAGACCATACCTACTGCACTACCCTCACCCCAACATATAGTCACCTCCTCAAAAACATCAATCAAACCTATCCAACATAATCTATCCCTGACAAAGCCATGCTGACCACACTAGATTAATCCTTAACTCTCAAAGTGAAGATTATTTCTATCCCTTAGAATTTTTCCAATCATTTCCCTATCACTGACATTCGACCCAGTGGTATATAGTTCCGTGGTTTATCTCTACCACCCTCCTTGATAACGGAGACACATTAGCTGTTCTCCAGTCCTCTGTCACCCCTCCTGTGTCCAGGAAGGATTTGAAATTTAATTTCAGAGACCCCGCAGACACCTCCCTTGCTTCGCACATGAACCTCGGGTCCATTCTATTTGGGCCTGTGGATTTGTCCAATTTTAAGCCTACTAAAAGCTGCTAATTCCTTCTGCCTATCAATTGTAAATTGTTCAAGTATATCGCAGACCCCTTCCCTGATTTCTACACTGTTTGTTTTGTATCATAAAAACATATGTAACGTTCTATTAAAAGCTTGATTACATCTTCTGGCTCAACCCACAGTTTATCCTGAGGTTTCTAGTTATTCTCTTGCCCTTAATATGCTTATAAAATGCCTTTGAATTTTCCTTTATTTTGCCGTCACTGTTTTCTCATGACTTTTCTTCACTTTCCTAATTTTGTTTTTAAGTAACCCTGCACTTCAAGAGCTGTTGGTATTTTGAACCCTCTGTCTCTGCCACAAGCTTCTCTTTATCTCCTTGTTCAATTCTGTACATTACTCAATATCTCGGGTTGCTGGAATTTTTGGTCCCACTCTTCATCTTCACAGGAACATGTTGGCCTTTCACAGTTTTGTTTTGAAAGACTGATGGCTCTGATGTAGATTCTTGAATGCTTTTGAACTTTGGTTTAATCTTTGCTTCTAAAGGCCAATCCTTCACAGGAAGATTCTGGCACAACCTGCAAACATGAAGCTGCCAACTGATATTGTCTGTTATTCTTTTTCAGTGTTGGCATCTGCTTTTCTAACCACTGGCTGTAATGTTGGTGCATTCTGGCCATTGCAAGATATTGCAAATTCTCTGATCAGCTAGTGATTCCTTGGACAGACAATTGATGTTTAAGGCCTTCATGTCATGCTTGCAAGCAATCTTGAGGTGGAGTTTTTTTTTCTATTCATTTTGTGGGATGTGGGCGTCACTGGCTGGCCAGCCAGCATTTCTTGCCCATCCCTAGCTGCCCTTGAGAAGGTGGTGGTGAGCTGCCTTCTTGAACCGCTGCACTCCTCCTGCTGTGGGTTGACCCACAATGCTATTAGGGAGGGAATTCCAGGATTTTAACCCAGCGACAGTGAAGGAACGACGATATATTTCCAAGTCAGGATGGTGAGTGACTTGGAGGTGGTGGTGTCCCCATATATCTGCTGCCCTTGTCCTTCTAGATGGAAGTGGTCATGGGTTTGGAAGGTACTGTCTGAGGATCTTTGAATTTTTGCAGTGCATCTTGTAGATAGTATGCACTGCTGCTACTGCGTGTTGGTGGTGGAGAGAGTGAATGTCTGTGGATGTAGTGCCAATCAAACAGGCTGCTTTGTCCTAGATGGTGTCAAGCTTCTTGAGTGTTGTTGGGATTGTACTCATCCAGGCAAGTGGAGAGTATTCCATCACACTTCTGACTTGTGCCTTGTGGATGGTGGACAGGCTTTGAGGAGTCAGGAGATTAGTTACTCGCTGCAGTATTCCCAGCTTTTGGCCTGCTCTTGGCATCTTAGACCCTCCACTGGTAAGTTATCTCTGATGGCCTTGCCTTACAGAAAATCCTTGAGTATGCAACTATCCACCATCCTGTGGAAATCCGTGATCTGCTGAAGCTGTTTATGTTTGTTTAGTACCAGCACACTTGACAACTCTTCTTTTGGGAAGATTGCCACATCCAGGATAGATCCACATCCAAAATATGCAGGAAAGATTGAAATTACTGATCTTCTTTTGATTGCTCCAAGTCACTGATGTTTCATAGTCCTACAACAGACAGTGCAACACAGGCTTGAAAACAATTACAAATAAAAACAGAAGTTGTTGGAAAAGCTCAGCAGGTCTGGCAGCTTCTGTGGGGGGGGAATCAGATTTAAGGTTTCAGGTCTAGTGACTGTTCCTCAGAACTGATGGTAGCTAGGAAAATGTTGGTTTATATGCAGAAGATGGGGTGGGGGGAGGGAGTAAAGATTAAATGATAGGTGGGGATAGAGCCCAAAGAGAGAGAAGAACAGTTGAACAGACCAAGGAATAGATAACGATCTGGCTAGGAGGGTGAATAGCTATTAAGGGGATTGTTAGTGGCTAACATGACTTGTGTGTAATAGCATACCGAGATAACAAGGTCTGGTGTGTCGGGGTTAGGGTAAGGACGTGGGAGAGTTCAAGCCCTAAAGCTGTTGAACTCAATATTGAGTCCAGAAAGCTCAGGATCCCCAAGTGGAGAATGAGGTGCTGTTCTTCCAGCTTTGCTGGTGCACTGCAGCAAGCCTGAGATAGAGATGTTGGCCAGGGAACAGGGTGGTGTGTTGAAGTGGCTGTCAACTGGAAGCTTGGTGTTTCTGCAGATAGAACATAGGTGTTCTGCAAAGTGGTCACCCAGTCTGTACTTTATTTCCCCATGTAGAGGGACCACATTGTGAGCAGTGAATGCAGTATACTAGATTATGTGAAATGCAGGTAAAGTACTGATTCACCTGGAATGTATGTTTGGGCCCTTGGATATTGGGGAGGGAGGAAGTAAATGGACAGGGTGTTCCAGCTTCTGCAGTTGCAGGGAAAGATGCAGTGGGCTCTGGAGGGGTGTTGGGAGTGAAGGAAGACTAGCCCAGGGTATCCTGGAGGAAATGCTCCCTGTGAAAGGCAGACAAGAGAGGGGAGGCGAATATGTATCTGGTGGTGGCATCTTGCTGGAGGTGGTGGAAATAGCGGCTAATGATCTTTTGGAAGTGGACCTTGGTGCGATGATGGGTAAGGACAAGGAGAACCCTATCACTGTTGCGGGAGGGAAGAGAGGCAGTGAGGGCCAAAGTGGGGAGATGGGTTGGACCATGCTGAGGGTGCTGTCAACAACAGTGCTGGAGAATCCTCAGTTGAGGAAGAAGGTGGACATTTTGGAAGCTCCCTTGTTGAATTTGGTGTCATTGGAACAGATGTGACGGAGATCAAGGAACTGGGAGTCTTTACAGGAAGTAGCATGTGAAGATGTATAGTCAAGGTAACGGTGGGAATTGGTGGGTTTATAGTTGATATTGGTGGCCAGCCTATCCCCAGAAATGGGAAGAGAGATGTTGAGGAAGTGAGGGGAGGGGTCAGAGATGGACCAGGTGAAAGTGAAGGTGGAGTGGAAATTGGAAGCAAAATTGATAAACATATCCAATTCTGGACGAGAGAGGGAAGCAGCACCAGTGATTTCATCTAGATATTGGTGTAAGAGTTGTGGGTGGGAGCCAGAATAGGACTGGAACCAAGAATGTTCCAAGTATCC